GAATCATGTTTGATAAATTGTATTTTTAAATTCTAATTAAAATATAAAGTTATATAAAATAAAAACTCCTCTAAGTCAAAATTTATTGTGCTATGAGTGTTTTTGTGCAAATATAACTTGTCTTTTAGAGCTGCAGTAAAAAAGTGCGCGTTGTTTGTGTAATGAAGTAAAGTTGAGTCAATTTTAGTTCTAAATTGCATAGATTTTTTAATAACAAACGCGAGGAAGATAAATTTCCATTTGTATCCTCTCGTGTGAATATAATTCCGTGTTATAAAATAAAAAGGGGATGAAGTGGTCGGAAATGTTATAGGAAGTGTAAAATTTGTATTCTTTTCTATATGGAAGTGTGCTAAAATATATGTATGTATGTATGTAAATACATAATGGGGAAGCACGAATCATAACTTAAATTAAATTTTAATTATTTATGTGTGAAAAGTAGATTACAAGTATTTCAACGGGTAAATATTCACTGCTGCGTTTAACAATGTTTTTTTCTTTCAAGAATACTGTTTCAGCTTTCTCTTCATTTAGAAATGTAAGGTAAGTCGAAATTTTTAACATTTCGTAGCAGAATTTAAATAACTTACTAGTAAACAGCTTAACTAAACAATATGCATTACCATTTTTACCATTTGCTTAAGGAAGCCCAAAGCTCTTCCAAGTATGTATGTTTGTTCTATGAATGTATTACCCGTGCTAGTTTCTCCACTGATTAAAAACTTCAGATTGCTTCATGGCCAGAGTCTTGTTGCATACAATTGGTACGCTAGCGCAATACGTTGACTAGTTTTCGCAGAGCTCAATTAAGAGTCACAACCTCGCAACAATGCAATCGAATGCATTTTTGTTTGTTTGAATTATTACACTTTCTCCCTATACTGTCCACTGCAGACCCTTGAGAGTTGAGCACTTCCATAGCAGTCGAGAGCTTATCCTTATTTGGATTGATCTGTCATCATGAATTAATCCTGACTCAACCGATTTTCTTTTATGGCTCACAAATGCTTTTGTGATGTAACCATAAAAAAGTAATACTTTTTATGGATACATGTTACAATAGGCATACTTATATTTCCACTTTCATGCATGAATTTAAGTATTCACGCACGTATGTATGTATGTGTAGTATGTACATGTGAATATGTTATGTCTCTTGGTGTTAATTTGTTAATTTAAGTGAATGATAACATCAGGTAATAATAAGTTTATTACCATGACCACGCTTTTTCCATCAAGATTTAAGGTTTTGTAAGTTAAAACAAAAGGATATATACTAATAGTTCGTTTGCTAAAAGAACGCCATAACTCAAAAAATAAAACAAATATAGAAAAATTTCGCTTAAGTTTTATAGTTATTTTTTCTGCATGAAACATAAGTAATAACAAAAACAACAAGTATGATCTTTAAGTTTTATCCAGATAACGAAGTTGGGTTCATATCACTATTAATTTAGTCCCAAAAGAGTCATTGGCTTCTAGTTATGGTTGCTAAGCAACCATGATCCTAAAACTCTTTTCACAATAATAGAGACCAAAATTAACTAATACATACTTTCGGATTAACTATATCTTCACATTTAGAATAAGAGCTCCGTCCCACAAAAGTATTATTATGTTTTTATAATAATTTAATTTTTATCAAGGACTCACGGCTGCAAAAAGGTGCAAATTAAGGCGGTATGCTCTTTTTTTAGTCAGTCCCCAGGCCCTCGGGTTGCATTTAGTGCGCGCATAAAAGACTTCGTACCCGGGGCCTATGAGGGATGAATATCGAGCACAGGGAAATGCTGTAATCATCATCCTCTAGAAAGGCAAACACATTACCTAAAGCGCAACGGCAATGCTTCAGGTTAATCTGTAGGGTGATCTTGCAGTTTGAAACGGCACAATATTGCAAAGGGGAATTGGAAACTCTCTATGAATGCCATTGATAGCTTGTCTGCATGCCGTTATTGTTGTGCCTGTATGAAGGCTCCTCCCCAAGCAAGGGCCTGTTTAGCTGTTCCCGTCCGTAGCACCCTACTAAATAGGGCTTGCTCAGTATTTTGTTGTGCTCCTTAACTGGAAGCTTCGTCCACTGCGTCCAACTAGACTCTAGAAACCAAACAGCCGGAACATAATTTAGAACCTTCCGACCTCTTCTCTTTGTCTTTGCCCCAGGTGCTGTTGGCGAGCGACTTGAGGACCCTATTGCTGCTGTGTACTTTATTGACAATTGCGGTAACCCCTAGAATTTTCGGGTGTTCAATGCCGGAATTCGTGTGCCATCGACGTGAATGCCTATTTCAAGCCTGGCCTCCTTTGTCCAGTTGGAGAAGAGGGTCGCTTCGTTAGGGGACGGAGAGGTAGCCGTTTACTTTCGAGCAGTTAAATAATAGCGGGATGGGATATCATCCCCTAGGATTGTTCTATACCGAACAAATTTTACTCCTTTTTATTTTGAAATCAAAAAATATTTAGAGGTCGCTCAAAGTTTTTCATTTACATATTTTTTTAGTAGAAATAATAAAAAATTCTAGAAAATCAATATTTTTCGATCGGTAAACTTTGCTTCTCTTCAGGAGTCTTTCAATAGGAGTGTTCGCTATGAAAAAAATTTGTACAAGTTGGTACCCGTTGTTACCAAATCGTGTTCGTTTAGCCAAAAACCCAGTAAAACTTGCAAGGAGAGAGCACAATTTTGAAATTTCATTTGGAGGGGAAGTTGCAAATTCGTGCTGGGAAAATTTTTGCCAGTAAGAATTTGCAAGCAGGTTTGTGGCACACGGTTGCATTTTTGTCAACATTAATTTGAATCAACGAGTTCGTTAAATTTAAAAATGAACAATTTTGTTGCGATTTACTAATAAAAGAAGTATGTAAATATTCGTATATTCAATTAATTTAATTAATTCCAAACATTTGAAAGGTACTCGGCTGAAAAAGCTGTATTCGTAATCGGAACGCACTCGACACCACTGTCGATATAGGAAATCTGACAGTGACTTCCACAATGAAATTGAAGCGTATGTTGAAGAAAGTCGGAATACGAAGAAATATACGTATAGGTCCTGTTTTGGTTTCCACCTGAAATAATTTAAAAAATTTATTATTCTCGAAATGCAACCGTGGACGCCAACTGGCAGTGTAGCTTGCAAATGTTTGCTAATTCCTGTTCGCGCAGAACTTAGTAAGTTTCTCTCTTTGGGAGAGTAAGGTACCTTGTTCTCTGAATTTCGTTACTGGCAGTTGCATAGCGAACACTCCTAATAATAGGTTTATTCGCGTATTGATTGTGTTTGATAGTTATCACTATCAGATTTTCCTGTTCGCGTACACAAAAATCCAGCAAAGTAGGGGAAATTGAGAGACCAAATTGACATTTCATTTTGAAGAAAAGCTACTAGTTTCTGCTGGAAAAATTTTTGCCAGCAGCCATTTGCCAGCATGAAAAAGAGCTGATCAAAGTCATCTGTTTTCAATTTATGAAAATATGGAAATTTATTTTAGATTTAGACTTAGAATTATTATTATGATTTTCAAGTTTGATATAACTTCTTAGATCTGCAAATGTATCGGAAGAAAGCAAATACTAATATATACTCATGTTTGATTAGCAAATTGCTTTAGGAAAACTTTTTTTTCGTTGTATGTTAACAAAATTTCGATCAGCTGTACTAAAAACGTGCAAGTTTTTGCTGGTTTTGCGTTCGCATACTTTTGCTAGCATTTCTCTCTTTGAGAGAGATCAGATAAAAATTCATTAGAATTCTGCTGCTGAGAGTTTACTGCTGGAAGAATACGCGAATACACCTAATAATAACCAATTTTTTATTTAACAGTTTTTAATATTAACAATTTTTAAAGGGCCTTAGGGGACCACCACAAAAAAATGCAAAGGGGGAACCCAAAAAAATTGATAGTATTGAAAAATGGTTAAATAAAAAAATTGCCATTGTTATTGGAAGTCTCCTGAAGAGAAAAAAATTCTATACCATTTCTACGAAACTTTTTTTCCATATAAAATACATAGATAACTTTGAGCGCTTTGAGCGACATCTAAACATTTTTTTGATTTCGGACTAAAAAAGGGGCATTTTTTCGATATAGAACAATCGCAGTGTGTGAGAGCATTAAAATTCCGACTTAACATTTCCCCTCCACAAGCACTTTTGGATCACCCTAATGTACATAGGTATTTACATTTTCGGAAACATTGCGATTCTAAAGATTAAAAAAATATTATATATGTAAGTATGCAAATTGTTTACTAATTGTTATTACGGGACTTCAATGCTTTCACTTATACTTAATTTTATATTTATAGCTAAATATGTACATATATTTACATACATATAAAAGTCTGTATGCGCGGATCTCAAGGTGAACCCTTTTGCGATCGACTAACTGTAACCGTAACATTGAATAGCAGTTTACGAGCCTCCTTAAAATACAAACTTATCTCTTTATACTTACCACGGTCTTAAATTCATTTTGACATTTTTAAATTAGTTGATTTTTAACTGGAAATCGATTTTATCAAATAAGCAAACAAATAAGAAATTGCCAAATTCAACAAAGCCTTCAACTGTAAATTTTATGATGTCGAAGAGTTTCGTAAAAGATTAAAGAAACATTGAAACCAATAAATGCAAACAAATGTCTGTCTGTCTGTTTGTAGGTATGTATGTAAGTACAGTGAAAAGGGTCGCTTAGGACATGCTGCCTGCTATCCCGAATTCGTATGAACGGTGCCAAAACCGGTTAACGGAAATGATCTTATTTAATTTGAATTTTGTTGAATTCGGGGGAGGAAATGCCCTGCAAATACAAACATACATACGCGTGCATCTACTTAAAACTACAAGAATTCGCAATATGCTTGGATCGTAAACAAAATTTGTACATTTGTTTTTATGTTTACACATGTGCGACTGCTGGCTAACTGCAATGTGAATGGTTAGATATATTTGTAGTGTGTGAGTATATAAAGAAGTGGTAAGAAGTTCGATTGCTGAGTGGAGTATAAAGACTGCAACACCGAAGTAGCCAAAGAACTTTCAGCAGCCAACAGTTATCGAGAGCGCATGCGTCGTGTAAAGGTGGCGGTCGAATATTCGAACGAGAAAGAAAGTAAAGTTAAATTTTTTTCGCTGCAAAAATGTTTCTAAATTTGATTATCCTGACTACGTTGCTGAGTGCGGGTGTTCGCGCCACCACAACGGCGCACATAGCGCCGCACTCGGAAGTGCCAAATGTACAGCACATCATTTACTTACCAACCAACGGAAATCAGGTGACCCCTTGGTCTAATTCGGGTCACAGCGTTAGCCCACTTTATCAGCAGCAAATCGGTGGAGTTGTGGACTCACATAAATATCAACAAGGCCACACAGGTGTGGTAAATGCAGTGAATTTACAACAACAACAACCTCACTCATCACCAGCTGCAATGTCGCCCAATCCTCTGTATGCCGGTAATAAGGAACATTTTCCTGGCAACTTTATACTCTATGAGGATCAAGTCACTATTCTACCCCAACTGGATTCACGCGACTCGCATGAAGAATATGAAGTTTGGCCTCCCGTGGGAATATATCCTCCGCCATCACCACCACCACTAGCGATAAAACCCACATCCTATCCAGCATATTACCCTCTTCCATATCCAGTGACAAAGCCAACACTTCGGCCAAGTACGACGCGCCCAACAGCGACGCGTCCAACAACTACTCGTCCCACAACAGCTCGCCCACGACCACCTCAATATCCTCCATTTTATCCCAAACCTCCATATTATCCACAAAACCCCTTGGAGGGGTTGCCACTCTATCCTCACTATCCTTTACCTCCATTTTTGACAACACAGCGCCCTACCACGACGACGACGACGACGACGACGACGACTACGACACCCAGGCCTAGTGGCGCAGATGTCGAAGTGCTGGAGAATTATCAAATCATCTCCGATAGAGGGATCACGAAATATAAGTAAGTGTTGGGTTTTTATTTGACTTTAGTCCTCGAAACTGTAATCATCTCTTTCCTGCTGATAAAGGCTACGTCTCAGTAACGGGCTGACTGATTACAAAAAGGTAACGAAAAAGCATATTGGCCAGAGAACTATTTATGTGCAAACTGGGTACTACTCAGTGCCGGTGGATCCGCAGAGAAACAAATACAATTTGATTCACTACATTGCCGATGAGAGAGGTTACCGGATCATAGGAGGTACATATGCTTTTGTTAATCTGCTTTGATATTTTATTTTTTATAAATTTCCATATTTCATTTAATTTTCAGTGCAAGCGTGCTCTAACGAAAATCCATGCAGGGTTCTAAAGGAAGAAACATGAAGGAGTGCAGTATTAAACTAAATCGAACTTGTATTTGAATTCATTAAAGTATGTCTTCGTAAAATAAAAACTAGTTACGTCTACACATTGATTAAAGTTTTTTATTTCTATAAAGTGCTCCAATGCCTTTTAAGCTTAACTTCAGAACCAGACTTCTTATAAATTTTGAACCTGTTTCGGATCTTATTAGCCAACATACTAAGGCCCAAATGAAGCGCCCATTGTGATGAATCCAGAACAACTCCTTTGTTAACCAGCTCTTAAAACTTGCAACTTACACAAGCGGAATAAATGGGAAGAGCATCAGAAGATCGAGGTTAAAGGTGGTGTGAGCAAACTTTGGTCAACCGTGAGGTTACTGTCCAACCCGAGGAAACGTGACGACAGAGTCGAAATCTCTTCCAGCAACCACGCTTCGTCGGACCCGGCGCGATGCGCGAGCTATTTTAGCCGACAGTTTACGCTGCATCCTCCGGCGGACAAAGCCAAACGTCGAGTAACCAGAAGGCTACCCGAACTGCCAACACCTAGTGCGCCTTTTGCTTTCGCCAGCGGGGTGGTATAGGAGCCGACGGAATATGCATGCTGATGCTGAAAAAATTGGGTCCTGCTGGATTAGATTATCTTATCAAGGTCCTCAACCTGTCTATGGCAGCTCGCATCATTCCGCACATCTGGAAAATGGGGAGAGTGGTCCCACTGCTTAAACCAGGGACTCTAGTTAACAAGGGGATTCTTATCATCCGATAACCCTCCATTTTCCGGTAGCGAGGATACTTGAGGCCTAGCTATTCCCGCGCTAAACCTGACCCCAGCGCAAGGCACAACATCAGCACTTAACGCCTTAAACACTCAGATAACTCGAGGCTAAATCGAAACCGCCCCTGTGAACAGTCCTAGTAGCGTTGGATCTGTCAAAGGCGTTTGACTCCGTCAGTTACTTCACGCTACTAGAAGACAGTGAGGCTTCCTCTCTCCCACAGAAACTCAAAAGCTGGTCAGCAAATTAGCTGAATGCTGTCCTTTGCCCGCGGCTGCTTAATAACTACATATCAAAGCTTCCTCAACCACCAGATTATCTCTTATGCTGAGTAATGCTAGATAATGGGATCCGGGAATGGAATTGGTGACTTGTGCTCGAAATTAAACGGTTACCTCTCCGAACTTCTTCGCTTCTTTATTGAAAGGGGCCTAACGCTCTCCCCTAAGAAATCCTCTGAAACCCTTTTTAGCACCTCAACGAAGGGGGTCAGACAGTAGCTGGGTATTCACGTCGATAGCGAACCAATTCGGACGGTGAATAACCCGAAAGTCGTCGGAGTTATCTTCGACAGCCTGCTCTCCTTCTTGGCGCATACAACCGCAAATGGCAATAGGATACAGAGCCGCAACAAGGTCCTCAAGTCGCTAGCCGGCAGTACCTGGGAAAAGACAAATAAATGTTTTTGGTAACATGCAAGCAAATTGGCCTGCCGGTTCTAAACTATGCAGCGCCTGAGTGGTTGCGGGGAACTAGCAGAACGTAGTGGTAAAAGTTACAGACATGCCAGAACAAAGCACTCTGGACCGAGACTGGACGCCTTTTGATATCGCCAGAATACCACCTACACAACGAGGCCCAAATGCTCCCCGTCAAGGAGCACAACAACATGCTAAGTAAGCAGTTCCGAGTAGAGTATCACAGACTCGGACACCCGAACAGACACCTGCTTGCAGCAGAGCTCTAGCCAAGGCACGTCAGGAGATATCTATACGAACTGACGGGCGAAGTCCAGATGTTCATAAAACAACCTCTGGACCCGACAGCATACTGACAGGCCATAAACGACATTCACAGGGAGTCGGTCTCAACCTACATCGACTCTCGTCCTGTGAATGCCACAATAGCCTAACTTCGGTCTGGATATTGCAGCAGGTTAAACTCGTACCTAAGCAGAGCGAAAGCAGATGTACCCAACGAGAGCACGACATACGGAGAGACATGACTTACGGCACCCCTTCTCATGCCCCCTAAAACCCAACCCAGCTAACGCCCTTGTCACTATGGAAGTTGTACACTTCTTGGGTCTCCCGTTAGGTGAGCCTGACGACAACGTTTGATGGAGGGGCCGATCTAAGCAGGGCTTACTAAGCCGCTACAACAACAACAACTTACAGTTTTAAGTTACTTAAAGATCCTTTAACCAGAAATTTGTTTTTTATTTACTTCAGTGCGTGGATACGTGAGCTAACTGGTAAATAAACTCTTTAACTTCTCAAACCAGGCCCATATCTATGCAGAAATTAGAGCAGCTGCGTCGGAAAAGCGGCTTTAATTCCTCCAAACTCACGCTGGACATAGACGTGCCGACTGTTACGGGGTGCTAAGATACAAAGTGATTGAGAGGTTAGATGATGTGGCTGATGTCCTAGCCAAAAATGGGGTAAGGGATCCATGGCCAAATACGTCAGGCATCTACCCATTACTCAATTATCTAAAGACAGTATTAGAAATGGCAATGGCATCGAAGGCGAAGTCCCTTGGGGAAAAGTTAACATCTTTCAGCACAGCCTAGTTTATGCTGTGCTCTTACAGTGCAAAAACCGCCGACTACATTGCAACACTTCCAAGGCCGAATATCAAGATACTTTTCAGTTGAGATACTTACGGGACACTTTCTTACACCATCTAATGCGTTAGAGTTAGTACTTACACAGTGTAAAAACAATGCCCTTGATATTCTCATGTTACATTTAGACCACATACAAAAAAATAAGGGTGCTTGCTTACATACATATAATTATCATTGAAGGAGTTTAGGTACATGTACCCGACCGAAACCAATGTTGAAGAACAAACCAGTCGGTGGTGTTGGTTTATTTTTCCGATAGGGTAGGATAATTATGTATTTTTGTACGAATTTCAGTCATCTTTTGACAAGTTTGGTATAGAAACAAATGGTTTCAGGATTGTACAATCTTCAGTGTAATTTATCGTTTGAACGAATCGGAATTTGGTTCTAAAACAAATGCACCAATAATGCTGTCGCTTTGGTGAACTGCAGTAATATTTTCGCTGCGTGGTCGATAACCATTGCACTCAAAGCTGACATAGCCTTCGAACGCTGAGCATGCACGCACTGAACAACATGGAATTCTTCTGCTTAAATCTAAGTTTCCAGCTCGCTAGAAAAGCAAAAACTCCATATAAATAAATGCTTAAGAAATGGCGAAGAAATTTTCTTACGTCAAATATCTTTAAGGCCGTATGCAGTTCCTAAGAAATTTGCTACGCTTGCTACTACGGGTTTCTAAAGTTTTTTTTTTTTGAAAAAAGAGCACAAGACAACCCATGTTTGCAACAGAAATATATGCCCGTTTCATTATTTCGTGAGGAGAGAGTGAGAAAATAGGCTGCGAAATATCAGATGTTAAAATTCCTTGGACACATAAACGAAATAATGGAAATTTTTTTCTTGACCGTTTCCTTAGGAGCTGGATACTAAGCT